GCAAACGTGTTGAAGCTAACTGTCTACACGTACTCTCGTTAGAGTACTACCTGTACGCTACTAGTGAAGGCAAAAATATAGAGATGATGTTGAATGAAGCGAATACGTTTGTCAGTTGAACGTAATTGTCTAAGCTTCGTATGGATCTTTCACAAGGTTGAAACATAGCCATTGTCCTGACTGACCAATTGACTATATGCTGAGGTAATCCGCAGGTCCGTCGCGCATTGATTCGGTGCACATCTTCATGATCGACGATACAACAAAATCGAGTGAAGCATCCTTAATGTACTCTTTACTAGACGTAACGTAGTAAATATTGGACATATAGTTGTGTTTCTCTCAAAAATGCAAAAAAGAAGGGTAGCTTCTATAACGATGAACTATTTAGATGTACGTAGAAAAGAACAGTTACAAAATAGATATAATGCTTTTTGTCATCGAAAAGTACACCACAACGATGGTTACTGAACTATGGCTAGGACCTTTTGGAAGCTCCGTGCGCTATTGAAGGTAGTAGTTATTTTTTAAGCTCGTTTAGGAGCGGATCCCGAAGTACTTCTCTGCTTTTAAAAAATCCCTCCTCCTATCAAAAAAGATAATGAAATAGCAAACAAGTGCGGTACCCACAAGATTGGCACCTTGAATAATTTCGCTGTAAAAACTAAATTTGATTGATGTCACATATATACACATATATACATATATTGATAGAGTGGATGGGTCGCTCTTTAGTTAACATTACATGCCAGCAATAATATTTAGCGACTGTCGAAACAAGACGCGCGGTTACTGTGGATCCTTCTCTCAATATTTTAAATTAATATTTCGATACCCTTGAGAGAAAATACATAACTTCTGAAAACCGTGTCCTGGCTCGTATTGCTTTTGGCCTACTATCGGAAATGCTTTCTAATAGAGCCCGCATATCTATTATGAATGACGTGCGGATGCCAGCAATTAGGTTGCCAGCATACCCGGGCTCTCACTGCACGTCTGACTTCAGCGGCCGCTGGCTGTATAGATTTGATAATAATCAATGATTTCATTCCGTTAGGGTAGTCAACTAAGCGAACCCGGTAAATTCTTACCGTTCAAGTCATGCAAACGAGAGCCAACAAGTCTAGCAGTCTGGCCGTTACCTGCTTTTCTGCTTAACGACTATCATCATCGAAACTCAAAGAGACTACACGCGAAAAACAGTTGAACGAGTCAAATCGTGGATTACACATAGGAATCCTTAGAGTGAGTGCTAAGCACAGGGAATGTTTTCAACTCTTCTTTTTCTTATAACGATCATAATCGTTCGTGGAAAGTTGTCGCATCGCATTCGAATTATATGTAAAATGCTTGGATTTGCTTGAATCAAGGTACATTGTTAAATGACTCTAATTGAAAGAACTATATGACTATGAAGTACAAACGCTAAGAGGAATCAAGCGGAAAAGGCCTTCCTCGCCTATCTGATCTGATGATTGCCGGTGAGCGTATAGATTGAAGCGATACGTTTTCGCTAAGTAATACATTTTTTTGACGTAGACAATTTCTGAAGACAGAATAAATACTATGCATTTCTAAATGTTCTACTCTCGTGGACGTCGTTAGGCTGTACATGAAATATCACCAGAATTATTTTTCTGCCCCGTCCGTAGATTTTGGAAGGTATCCAAGCGATGGTCACGGAGCGCTTCCACAATGCTGTGCCATATTGATTCGTTTTTGGAAACAATCTCTCTAGCTAGGGAATAAAACTTAGGAGCTGTGCTTCAATGCGGCATTGACCTGGTTTCTTTCGGGATGCCCATCCTTTGTGCCTTTCAAGCAAATCGCGGTAGTTCCAATATTCTGAGACCTCTAGTTACAACTGAAGTTAAATATTAAACTAGGATTGTACGCTTTCAGGCAACTACGACAATATACGAAATGTCTGATATCGGAACCCAGACCAAACTCACACAAGGTTGGCCTCTTGGTCAATTTATACAAAGGATCTGGGAGAGTTTTGTGCACGTGTACAGATGTCTTAGAAGATGTGTACACAATTTTAATGACTATAACTTCAGTTTTTATCTACATATAGTTAATGCTCAAACTGCAAGAGAATATAAACAAAATGTATAACTTTTTCCGTACAAAATTATTATCATCGCTTCGCTGACGTTACGGTGGACTTACATACATCTTCTTATTCGGCTTTGTAGCCTATGCGTGCTTTACAAATCATTCCGTTCACTGGCTCATCACAAGGTTCACTGGCGTAGCCTAGTTTGGGGGGTCAGACAAGCCACTGGGATGTCTTCGTCGTACTTGGAAGATTCTCACCAAGCTATACGTTTATATCACGAGTATTCGGTACAAGTGCTGTATAATGTTAAAAATGAAATTTGCCGTTTTCATTTTTAACATTTTACTAAATACGTGGCAAAATATATCCTTAGGGTAAATTCGTCTCACATACCCATGTCGGACAATGGCTAATCGATGCTTAAATTGCGAAAAAGACGTACTGTTATCCGCCATATTTGTCGGAATTTGAATGCCCCATTCCTTATTCGACTGCTGTCTCAAAATTCGGGCAGATGCATTTAAAAAAGCTCAGTGGAAAAAAAAGCAGCCTTCATGTTCTTTTTGGGAATAAAGAAGGTAATACAATTGATATAATGCACTCCGGAATGTTCAGTGCTATACGTTATCCTGAGGCCAGAAAAGGCCAGTTGTCTGAAGCCACAAAAATAGGACAAAAAAAGCACCTCTAAACTTACATTTACCTGCAATCAGACCAGCAAACTTTGGTCTAAACTGGAAGACCTAAACATATTGCCGACTTCATGGACTAACACCATTTAATAAGCAAGGGAACATCATGAGGGATTTAGGAAGGTTCCTAATCGTTAAGTAATTTACTTATATGTAAGGCCAGTTGGACAGGGAAGATATAGTGGGTCGCCATTCATTTTAGAAAGCAAATAAGGTAGATCACAATTACATATAGACGTGTCATAACAACTGCAATACCCTAATGATTCTAGAAAGGCATAGTAATAATCAAAATGGAAACAAATCTTCGACCTTAAAAAATTGTCCTGAGGAACCCCGTAACGAACTTGTTTGTCATTTGGGATAAAACGTGTTATCGACCACAAATGAGAAAATAAGGCCACAGCTTCAGAGAAAGTACATGCCCCAAATAGAATAGGATAAGAAACGAATGTTTTCCAAGTTTTTAGAGGTCCTAGCTTTCCATAACGAGTAAGAAAAATGCCGGATCAGAAGAGTGGAGTATTGCATTGTCAGACCATACTGCTAAAACCATGCAGATCTTTTTCGTACAGCTGAAGACAATAACAGCGTACAAGGCGTGTGGACTGATTTGGCTAAATCTTCTCACCAGCGCTATCCTAAAGCAGCGCTGTCGTTCATTTCACACGATACGACGAAAAACGAGCTTGAGGAAAAGGTGGCGCCAGCAGTAACAGTAGCTCCAGCCAGCAGAAATGAATAAAAGGGAGCATTATCATTGAAAATGGCCACTGTTTCTGCTTTGCTTAAATGTACGTTTGTATGGGTGCTACGAAAGAACATGTGCCTACCTTAACAATCACTTTTCTCAATGCAGTAAGTGATGAGCACTTCTTTACTACCCTTTGGATCGCGAGGTCCATTATAAGACATGTCCCTTTCGTCCCAGAAAGGAATATTAACGCACATAAGGGTCCTTATGTATGTAAATGGACGTTCCTGACTAACCTGGTAAATGACTGGCATTCCGAATTGGAGAAAAACTGCCCATCCTCTCTGTTTACAAAGACCCGCATCTCTCGAGTTCAGCTGAAGTACGCCTCCGTTCGAAGGCTCGAATAACGCTACCAGAATTTGATTTCAAATAATACCACCTTATTATTATTATTATTATTAAGTAAATAAATAAAGGATTATGTAAGATATCTTACGTGTTATCTTTAAGTCTAAAACGGAGCTCAAAAATGAGCCTTGACTGTCGTGCTGATGCATGTCATAGAGGAAAATATCCCATTCTAGTTTTGCGTCTACATTAAGCACAGAACATTCACGCACATAGATGGACGTTTTTGGAATTCTGTAATCTATAAGTAATTTTAAGTGAATTTTTCTGACCCATCCAGTTCGCAACTCATAAGAAAAATTACTCAAATATACATATATACCCGGTCGAATGGCTTGCCGTTTTTCTACGCAACCCAAATACATAATACGTTTACAATATTGACACTGAACAACTAGTAATAATACTAATTATAAATACTATTATACGTTGTACGTAAAAATTAGCGAGTTTTTTACGTCCGTGACTAACTCCCGACTCGTTTCACCTGGCCGTTCGGCTGACGTACATGGCTGTTCGTAGGCAAAGAGTCTCAGTCATTTCGGAGCAGCGTGTCTGTAATCGGAATCATCATCTTTCAGTCAAAATTTTTCTACCGTATTTTTCATGCCTCGCTACCTATTAGAGATACGCAACCTAGTGGCACAATTAACTCGGTAGCGTTATTTACGATATTTAACGTATTTAAGTGCCTGATGTTTTTTTGTTTCTTGTTTCTATTTCTGGCTGTCAGCGTAACTGCAGATAACTCTCTCCATTTCTGCGACGCTGTTTTGTTGTGCCCGTAACCGCATATGCGATCTTCTAGTTCGACCTTACTCGTTTTTTTTACTGCTTTAGATAAATGCCCGTTACCTAGCATCCTATATAGTTATTTTCAATATGAGGAACCATACAGAACACGTTCTTCGTTCCGGAATTGTCGATAAAGCCCAGCCATATTGTAGATAGCACGTATTAATACATCTGCACTTGTAAATGAATGATAAACAATAGCTGAAAGCAGACGATGCCGAGACAACATATTTACATCGTCGTCATCACCATTAAAACCTTTCCGATGAATCTTCTTAGCGACTCTAATAAGTACGTAGTTTTGAAATCTGTTATTATAAATTTATTTATTTCGCTGTTTGCTTTATGGCTCATAGGACGACGATGATGAAAATTGATGCATCTGAAAAGTTCTTACTATAGCAGCGTGTGTGTTCTTTCCGCCAGAAATCACTGCGTTTCTCGTGCCACTCGAACAGCTCACATGTGCTCTTCTAATTCCGCACGGGGAGTACATGCATCGACTACATCATGTATCGCTAGTACATACCTAAGTATCTAGACGAATGGTGTATAAATTATAATCGATTAAAACGCACATTCATACAAACGCATACGTGCATATATATACATATAAAGTGGCGCAAAAGTTTCTCAGGGGTTGCTTACTATATAAATAGTGTACAGATATAGAATGAAGATGCTCAAACTGTAAAAAGAGTCTTGCCCCACCCTATATATGTATATATATATGCATCTATCGTAAAATTATTTGGGCGCTATTTACAATATTATCGCTGGCATTATATGTACAAACAACATCCTATAGTTCAATCAAATCGTCATCAATCTGCTACTTCAAGTCGAATTTTCATCCTTTTTCCTAATAGCTAGTAGTCGATATTTGGTGCAGACGGTATTTGAAGTCTCGTACTGTTACGTCTCTTGCTATATGGGGAAATATCATGATTTTATGATAATTTATAGATAGTAACGTTCTCAGCTCGATCAACACTTCAATGGTCAATCGTCACTTAGATATCAATCAAGTTTCGGGGCGTACAGCCATTCCCACATAGGCGATAGAGGTGCTTCTTTAATTAGCCTTCTTTCGATTTATTTGGACAGACGATCAATAGCTATGCGATATTTCATATTCAGCTAACATCACCAAACCGTAATTGTTATTAGCAAAAAACACCTCCCAAATTGGTCGTAGTAAACAACAAAGTTTGTTCCCGCTCCTCTTGTTATTTATTTTTCTGTTTTTGTATTACAACGTTCAGGCTAACAGTTCGCTGCTTCGGATGCCTATTGAAAGCGGCTGAGCATTCGTGCATTGAGGGGTGTCTAGACAAATCATGTCGAGATATCCAAAAAGAAACTGTGCCTGTCATGGAACATTGCATCCTGTGTACCCGTATTTTGCGGTACCACATCGCTCTTTCGATGTCAACAATAATGAGTTCATACTGTACGACGTAAGCATCGACATTTCCGGTGCGTTTTTCTTGGCACCCGTGTTATCAGATATAGACATGTTCATTCGATATATCTGTTATGTTGTAGACAACATACTTATAGCCAACTATTACATACGTAGAAAAGTGTGGCAGGTATTTCATTTATATTATCTGCTAGAGCTATTATATTCAGTGGTAATAACAGTGTTATTATTGCTACTGGCGTTACTGCGTTGAGGTAAAGCCGATGCGTTCTTCATACTGCTCGCCTATCATTGTGCCTACCAGAGTGTATTATGCCAGTTGCTACAATAGTTGACGATATAACTATACGAGTAGTCTAGCAATAAACGTACTGGTTACTCTCCTTTCTGTTTCATTAAATATATTGTTGTTATTACTTAATCAAATACGAACTCCGCGCGTACAAGGGGGCCACGAACTAATCAGAAACTTTTGTAGAAGCTACAGTGTAGTCTAACCCTTCTATGGTATTATGATTATACTTCAGTGTGTCCGTTAGCAAAGGGTAACTGGCTGTTGCGCTGTATTCGGATTTGTTGGCTTCGCAAGAGTCGGTGAATACCGTTTTCACCAGTTCCAGGTTCTGTAGAAGCTGACCCATCGGGCTGATGCTGCAGATCGATGTCGGCTTGATTCGAGATTAGCTGATGATTGTTAATGTTTTGGGTGGTGTGTAGATGATTTAGCGTGACACGGGTGGTTGAATATGGTTCGGACGCACACGAATACCGCGCAAACTTCCGGTTGTTCTTGGCGAATGCGCTCAATTGTTTGCCAGTCAATGCATAGCAGCAGAACACCGCTTTAAAGCCCTCGCGGAACCTGATCAACCCATTTATTCAGCGTCAACAAACATCGAATGAGAAGTAACAGATGAGTCAACGTTATTACGTTATGCGAACTCGGCAGACCGCATATTACGCATCGCATGCAAAAATCCGCTACGAATCTATTTCTCGTTCTAGATTGACTTTGTTGTGAGTGGAAAAGTCAAGCGGTTCTAGCTGAGGAGAATATTTGATAGGGGGAACGAGGCCTTTGACTCACATCCTTCTAAGATCTTTCACAACTTGAGATGGGTTGTCTTGTTTGCTACAAGTTTGTTTGATTGATTAATCTAAGCTCACTGAATCTGTGAGGATGAGAGCATGCGTGATATTGAGATTGCCACCTAAATGCCTCTAGCAGGAGGACAATAAGTTTATTCACTCGCAATCACCCCAAAAACAACTTAATCAAACATGTCATTCCGCTACATAGAGTAATGGGGTCGAACCTTGACATGCTAAGCCAATAAAAGAGAAGATCCGCTGAGGGTCCTCGAAGCGTGGACGCGGGAACCTCGAAGAGGCCATTTGCCAAATGCAGGCTGTTATTATTATGTATTAGAGTTTTCTGTTCATGGTTCGCCATATGGCATTTGACAGGTAAGGTATCGTAAGCAATGCCAATGAGTCTCTATGAGCGCGATAGTTTCATGCCAAATGAAAATAAAATGTATATACAGTAGATCATGCGCTATCCATTTATATAGAAAACTCGCTTAAAAAGCAACAAAAAGGTTGAACTTCCACTTTCGATAGTAATTTACTAAAAGTAAAGAAAAAGAAATACGCTTGTAATTGAGGACACCGTTACTCTAGCACATGAAATGTTATTTATTACGACTGAATAATAATAATAATACATTTCGATGCGTACTTATCTAGTAGGAAGCCAAGAAGATTAGGAGAATTTGTATAAATTGTCATACGCTTTATTTTATAGTCAGCGTTTGAAGCTTACATTCCAGACGTACCATATTTAGCTTGCAGTGTTGTTCAAAAGCTCCCGTGTTAGCAGCATTAGCTACCAGTGGTAATGGGTGCATTTAAATCTGACAAGTTCATCAGCTTTCAGAGGACGAGCTACTTACCATTGAGGCGGGCAGCAGATCCTTTCAGCGTTCCGATATCGTGATCTGGCATTCCGCAAGCATTTCTGGTTCTCTGAATTTCTACTTGCTTTTTAATCGTGTCAGGATTGTTTTATGCAAATAGTGGTGGCGTTCGTGACAGGGGCATAATTTTGATTGCTGTCAAGCGAGTGACGATTGAAGGCAACCGCGTCACGGGCATTCGTTGTTGTATTGGGGTTTTGCCACGTGCTGTATTTCTCTTTCATGCACTAGCAATCACGTGCGAGCTTTCCTTTTTATTTAAGGCAAATAGCGAGAAGCGTCACATGTCGCAACTGGCTGACAGGATGTGCGTATGCAAGTTAGATCTATGGTACCAGCTAACGTCGATGGGATACGATCTGACTGTTCGACGCAAATAAATTATGGCTATTAGATATCCATAGCATCGTAATAGAAATATGGAGTTAAATTTCGAGAACGATTTGTTTGAAGGAAGGGAAAAGATCTAGAGGCGTGAAGTTATTGCAGTGAGAACGTGTTTGCCACTATAGGCTTGGCCTATACGATTTGTATAATATGAAAAACGTTTAGTTAGTCTTAAATGAGAAAAACCCAGTATCGTAAAACTCGTCAAGAAACAGCTAACAGAAAAATTAGACCACAAGTTTGGGAATCTGCATTAAACCAATATCAGTTATATTAAGAACTTTATCCTACGAAGACATCGAAGTCTGCGATAACTGAATTAGCCCAAACATAAGTCAATGTATACGTTTTTAGCGAATGCTTTTAACCTATATAGAGCCGAAAAAAAAATACGCTGATATCTTCCAGAACCATAATCGCATGCGAGTCAGCTGGGGCAGCTGACTTGGTCGCTTCGAACAGCGCCAGACGGTCGAAGAACGAATGCCAATTTCGATGCAAAAATAGTATCACAGCTTTGTCAAATCTGCATTACTTCTAGTTAAACTGGTTTAGAAAAACTTACCTGCTGTTCATCCAGCAGTAAATGACAGGGTTGTACATCGAATTCGACATGGCTAGAAAGTAGATGGTTAAGTAGATATTTTGGATGTAGACAGAGTTGCGCATGTCAGGGTAATGATGCACCAGCAAAAAGTAGAGATGATAGGGCAGCCAACACACACCGAAAATGGCGACAATCACAATCATCATTTTAACGATCTGCAAATTTAACAGATCGAATTCGAGATCAAGCTTGAACATATGCAACCTATGAATATAGTATTGAGAACTTACACGTTTAAATATAATACCATATATCAGTATATAATGGAAGTGAAGTGGTGACGCATATAAACTCTGACACGATTTGAACAAGGCAAGTAGAACGACTTCAAGAACGGATACGGAAGATCCTGACATTTTTCAAATATGAGCTATTTCGACGTATGAATTACTTTTTTTTTTCCGTAAATGTAAACCTGCTAGTAACGTGATTTCCGGTTTTGTTTCTATGAAAAGAATTTCGAACACTGAGGCTATCTATCTCCTATTGATTTAGGTTAAATCATAGGCAGAACACTAATATAGGTTATTTGTCATCACGTAGACGCTAAGCTAACGTCGAGAACTATTGCTAGATTATATAAATCCATACATATATAGATGGCATGCACTGTGTATACTCAGTCGCCTCGAGTTCTATTGAGGTCGTCTCATAAGGTTGCTCCGGAATTATACCTAATTTCGAATGAGGGTTATTTTTGCTCAGAGCACTTCAATCAATGTCATATTGGCTGTTGTTAATTATGAACCTCAAACATCTTTTAAACAGCGTTTCAATTCAACTTTTTCCAAAATTAATCAGTGTGATTTTTTACGCCTTCTAGAGATACTAAGTTCTTCCCATAAAAGCCCAAGGTTGGCAAAAAGGTAATAATCGGTAGGAACAAGGTTGGGACGATGACGCTGGTAAATGAAAACATACCATTCAAAAATGTGCAGTTTTTAACGAATTTACTAGAAATATGTGTTAGAGACCTGGCGCGGTCATGATGGAACATCATTGTTTTCCTATCCGCCATGGTTAGATGCATTTCTAGAACCCTGAGCCTCGAACGGTCGAGTTGTTCACAGTATCTAGCAGAGTCTGGGTTTTAGTTGTTTTACGTCTGCAATTTAGCATGATCCTCTTCCTTCATAAGGCCCAACTTCAGCTCTCATTTGAAGAGCATTATCATACTTCGGTCGTGATCTCCGTTGAGTGAAGCTATTGTTTACTATCCACCTTTCGTTGTTCGTCATCATCCCTACCAAAAAAAGCTTGCTTTCGTTCCGTTTTGAAGTATGTTAGGCTATGCATATACGCATCATCCGTTAATCGTGGTCAAATTATGAGCCGTCCAGAATTATGCTCGATTAATCTATTCATTGCGTGTTAGGGATGCTTGAACAATTGATTTGGAGAAGGCTCACACGTGAGTTTTGATCGAATAAAGTAGGAATCTGCAATTGTCCTGTTTTCGATGTAGAGGTGACCGGTTCGAAGGGGAACGAAGTACTGTTTGACCGTGCGATCGATGACAGCATTAAGTTCACATATCCCAAAAGCCTTTTGAGGAACAAAACCTCGCAAGTGACCAAAAATACACTTTCGGTATTATCGGCTTGTGCAACTTAATTGAACTGTGCAATGGAACTGAACATGGCTCTATAAGGGAATCGAAGAACACTTGTACAAATATAGTAAACGGTCGTTTCTTAGACAACCTTAATTATGGCATCAACATGTAAACCGCTTTAAAATTTCGAACGGATTTACCTAATAGATAACATTTGCATCGCATTCTAAACTCGACCCGGAAAGGCCCACAGCACGAAACCCCGCACTGCCCAGATTTTTTCTATTTTGTGGTGCGCAGGAGTACCTTGTATCTCGATAGCGTACCCAACATAACATATATCGCCCGACATTTTTATGAAATAATACTCTTTAATACTAATAGAAATAATAACAATAACAGCGTTTTCCAATTATCTGTCCTTGCACACTGCCAACATTTATCTCAACATTTACTCAAAATATTTTGTCTAAAGTAGCATCAAATCGCTTCTAATACTCTAAGATACTTCGTCTGATAAGGCTATCAATCAATGCAGCTTTGCAGGGATGCAGCAGAAACGGAAGTATTCCATATTAGCATTTTTTCCCCTACGCTAATTCCTGACAAGGAACCCTAGACTCAATAGACCAACACTAAGGGGCCACCAGAATCGGTGTTTCTATCGAATTCGAGCATAGTACTTCCATATGCTCCAAGTGATTCTCGTTTCATGTTTAAAACAAATGTGTGCAATAAGAATAACGTACGCAAATTCCTTTTACAAGAAAGAAAACATATTGTTTCATTTTATTTGTACATCTGTTTGCATTCTAAATAGTAGCGAAGTGCTTTTGATATTGCTAAGCTATCCTTTCTGATGGACGTGGCGACCGACCGGCAGGTTTCAGTTGTTGCATAGCTCCGATGGCCCGTACTTTTTGTCGAAGGAAGCTACTCGTGCTCTCAGTTGACCGTTTCGAATCTTGCAGCATATGCCACACGTAGTCAGCGCTTCAGTCAGAGAGCTGTCGCTACGCAACATTCACTCTAGATGCACACAGCAGAGGCCTGCCACAAATAAAAGAGTTCTAATTTTTTGCTTTGTTCGATTCTTCTGTTGACGATGTCTATAGGTAAACGGTTTCGAACTTACCCCATGACGGGTAAGGACAAAAGAAGGGTGTCAAGGCATTTGTGACCCTATTCGAAAACGAGAGATGTGACATCGAACGATAAGAACATGTGATTTTGATGTGAGAACTTTCTTCTAACTCTTTTAATGCCGTTCTCGTTTTTGATTTCGTGTTTCGTTTGGCACAATCGTTCGACCTTAAGAGTAAGCAAAGATAAGCAGTTATTTATCATTATATAGCCAAAAGGATGGCTAAATCTATAAATGCTGAAGTCTCTCAGCGCTCTACCTCGTCAAACGCACAACACGATAAGTTCACTCTAACTGCGCAAACCTTCAATTCCTCACAGCACTTCTATAATTGCTATAATATAGCAGATGTAAATATAAAAGTGTTTTACCTCAGCGACTCGACTCGTTAAGTTTTTATATCACGATAGACGATTTAAGGAGGAAACGGCGTGTATAGTGGTTATTCAAAATGTTCAATAAGAGATATTTCCTATAATTGCTATCATTTAACCAATAATCGAATAAATAAAGCCAGCGCGAAAAAAAGAGAAGAAAACTGTTGAGCGTTCCTATTTTTCTCCTGGCAAATGCTCTCCACCGCTAACAAATATTCACATTTGTAACAACGCTTATAGCTCTCCTACGTACACGCGGCTGAGCTGAGATCAGGCTTGACTTTATACAGCAGTCACGTGGCAAAGCATTAACCTGGGGGGTAACGCAGAGCCACTGGGGCCAACAGACAAAGGTGGCTGACAGACGAGGTGGCAATAAACAAGCATGAGGTGTCAGACATAATCGCTGCGCAACTCGAAAAAACGTAATGTCCGTGATGATCATTCCAACACGAAGGGGAGAACTATAAACGACTGCATTTGACCGTTTGCATGTGGCTACGTATTCGCCTTCCATTGTTTATTTTGCATACCAAGCAGAGATTTTGTGCGCGACTGAGGGGCCATTCTCAGACGGACTGGGAATCGGAGTAAGTTCTCCGAACGACGACGCTATTTGTTTGACGCTAGAGGGAGAACGACGACTATCTACACAACGATTTGCCTTTCTCCAGATTCAATGTATGTTTTTATATCTTTTGTATGTTTTTAAGTCAACTACTAAACACTCAGCATGACGTTAACTAGTTGAAAAACATACAGACCTGGCGAAGCTTATGCAATAATATCCATGCTAGACATATCAGAAAAATGTTTTCAGTAACATTTTTCTTGGCTCTACTAACTTATCTTACACAAAAAATATTGAATTTTCATTAACGTTAAGCAAGAAGTCAAAAGCCGGAAAAACATTTGTTTCCATATATGTGCGGTTCATAAGTTTGCAGAATATGCACGGCCGCGCAGACTTTTTTGGCGCTTACTTAAATCTCCTCCAAATGAGACACAATACAATATCGAAAACCAAAAACGGATTTCATGTCAAGGCTGTATAAAAAAATTTAGATTATTAATTGTAGTCTAAATCTTAGTAACGACTGCGAAAGAGCACAAAAAATCGAGTCTAAGTAAATTCTGGCAAAATATCAGTCTAGCTTTCATATATAGGCAGTATGATATTTAACACGAGGTCAAGCAATTTTTGTTTATCAAAAGTTGTATTACTTACACGTTTATGTACCTCTTCTAGCTATGTTCCCATATTTTTTGACATATTCAGCTATTAATTGACGCCTTGGGCTGCAAAATACACGTTTTTAAATATGATGTTATTTTCCTCATCCATGAGAATCTTCGTCCTTCGAGCGAAAACCCTGTGCCTCGAGGTCAGTGGCTTACAGCGGATGAAACTTCGATCAAGATTCGTAATTCTTTTGCCCTGGGGACAGTGCGGAGTAAGATTTTCTTTATCTTTGGCTAAATGTAACTGTCTTTTTTTTCACAGCTTTACCTTCAGCTTGTCAAGTAAGTAACGATGTGTACGATACATCTGATAATGAATTTCTTTTTCTGAGATAGTCGGTAAACTCCACGTTACGATTAAATTTTAATTACGATTACAAGTAACACGCACGTAATTTCTCCGCCTTTCTATTGGCTTGATTCATCCTTCGGAATCCATTGTTGCATCTGTACCTGATTGTCAGAATAGCTGTGATGTATCCTCGTTCTACTTCCAGTTATTAACTGACGTCAGAACCTCGACTGATCCGGATTGCACTGACTCAAAAAGAGCTTTGGAAAAAATCTTATTATTCATTAATATTTATATGAATATTATAACAAAACTTGCACTGTTATACACTCATTAACTATAATTTAATTTCCCATATATATACATATATATATATATATATATATATATATATAATTTGTTTTTAGCTTTTATTTATTTCATGCCCAAGATTTCGATGGCCTTTGTAATCTTTTTCACTAACTTGGCAGTCGTCTAACACTGCTGGCTGAAGTCTCTTTAATGTTATTAAAAAATGTTGCGATTTCTAGCCTTCCTTCACACGT